CCCTGAACAGATCATTGGAATCCGAGGAGGCCATTGGTTAAGAATCCATTGGTTATCACTCGAATTTTAAGGTTATCATGGTAGGAATAAAAACGTATGCAATGGGTAGGCAACAAGTTTTCTTTTGACAAATGATCAAGTAAGATATACACATTTAATTGGATTAGGAGAGAAGTTGTAAGGAGTTCGTGATTTTCTATACCCTCGTGAACATTCACAGAAGATCTCTAGAAAAGCGTTTACTGTAAATAATTAGACTTTGACATTGGAAGTGTTGCAAAACAGCACAATTATTACCCTGTCTTAATAATACTGTATACAGCATCAGTAGTATGTCAATTATACAGGGGTGGGCAAAGGGGGAGGAGTCTGCAAACAAGGTGGGTGTCCTTGACCAGAATTAAGCCAGGAACCCTTTGGTCCACAGGCCGATGCTCTATCCATTGAGCTAAACTGTCTAGGGACCTATTCTTGTGTTTTAAAACTTGCCTATTTACTTGGTGTTTTTAAACTTTGTAATGGGGAGGAAAAGACAGGCTACATGTCCATGAATCAGACATGGCAATAAAGCCTCAATTATTGGAGAGGGATCTTTAACTGAATGGGAAATAAGAAACTGAGGGGGAAGATATGGTGACCCCACTTGCACTGTGTGTACTATTTCTTCCTAAATGGCGGGGGGTTCAGAATAGGCAGTCAAGCTTAGTTTTGGCTAAAATAAATTAAAAGTATTTTTCTCAGTAAGTGTTTATATGGAAGTATTAAGAAGCCTCTTAATACTTTCTCTTAAGGCCCCAGGGACTGACTCCTAGCATCTTAGAGGCAAAGTACTTGTCACTAAACCTGTTACCTTAAATCTTGCTTTAGTATATTTTATATGGCTCTAAGAGAACTTACCAATTAATCAGGATATGTGCTATTAGTTATATTTTTAAAAAACAGGAAATGTCAATTGTAGGCTATGGGATTCCTTCTGTTAGTTGTTCTCATTTGAGCCTGTGAACACTGGGAAAACCAACTGATCATTTTGAGTAAGATAGAGGGCCATGGTTTTGTTTGTGTGTTTTTAATATAAACACTCTGGAAGCAGGCAGTCCCCTGGCTGGTGTAGCAGCTACTCTATCTCCCCAGGAACCTAATTTTTCTCTTTATTTCTGCTATTCTTGTAACTGGAACTAAGGTTTGGCTGCCTGCTGCCACGAAAGCCAAACTTGTGAGACAAGTGCTGGTGTAAAAGGAAGGAGGTTTATTCAAGTGTCAGCATCTCAAGAAGATGAGGGACTCTTGTCCTAAGCCCATCTCACCATCTCAGTCAGGCAGAGGTTTTTATAAGGAGGCAGAGGGAAAGCGAACAAAGAAATCAAGGGGAGGGGTTGAAAAGTTCCCTACGTGCAGGCCGACACAGTACATCCATCCGGATAAGGACCTTGAAACGGGGCAAGTGATGTGCGGCATCCTGGTCTTCATTATCCTGGTTCTATGTCATCCTGGTTCTACAGTTGGAACTGGGATGACTGAAGGTCAGAGTCTGTACCTTCTGAAGTTAGTTCCTAAAATTTTTATACAAATATGCTGTTTATCTATAAGCTACATATTAGTCAGAGTCACAGCGTACAGAAACAAACCATGTGAAGAGAGGCCTGGCCAATCCTCAGCTATTCCAGTGGCCCCACTGAGGTGTCAGTCATGTGCATGAAGCCACCTTGGATGGACCTGCTCCAGCTGAGCTCCAGTTGACACAATGTGGAACACAAGAACTAAGCCCTGCAAAATTATAGATTTATCAGAAATAAATCACTGCTAAATGGTGCTGAAACCCAATCAGTTGGCCCCCCTCCTCCAAAATGGCAAGATAGCCAAGAAGTGAGGTTCATTGGTTGGGCCTCTGGCCTCACTGGACATGGTAGAAGTCTGCTACCCTAGAGGAAGGGGATGGCTGTCTCAGGGGGAAGGGCAATAACAGTTGTCCTTAGTCACCAGTCTCCTGGTGGCAGCTTGGAGCAGGAAAGGCATCTCTAGGACCTCAGGAACAAGGTCATATGGGATCATTACTCTTGCCCTTTGGCATTACAGTAGGTCCTCAGGTTACGTCGGAAATCTGTTCCTATGGCGCCAGGTAATGTGATTTTCGCCCTAAGTCGGAACCCACCTACATAAGCCCCTACGTCACTCACATGGAGCACATACACAGCAGTAATGAAGTGAAACAGTAAAAAAAAATTTAAAAGAAAGATAACAATTCCTGACCTTTACTTGTGGTAAATAAATAATAAAAAACATAAAGCACATATGTACATACGTCGAAATGACGGAACTTTTTTTTTAATATATAAATAAATGGGAGAGGGCGACGTAACCACTAAACAACATACATTGAGTTCCACGTACCCTGAGGACTGCCTGTACTGCAGTTGGACCACCCACAGGGCTCCTGTGTTCATCCTCAGCCCTTCTTCCTCTGCTCCTAAGAGTCTGTGCATACATGACCTCAGGCTGCCTCAGGCTCACTCTCTGAGCACCTTGTGAGCACACAGGTCCCTGATGCTGTCAGGTCACCTGGCTCCTGTTCTCAGAGAAGTCTAATTGGATCAGTTCATCATCCAGCAAGGCTACTGCAAGGTCATTGCTGTGCTCTGAATTGGCTACACATCCCATATTCCCTATATCCAGTCAGCCCTGTCTGGAATGGGACATGGACCCTTGAGGTCTTGAAGTCCTGGCTACACCCCTTCCTGGCTGTGACCTTGAGCAGGCTTTTTTACTCTTCACCTGAGTTTTCTCATCTGTAAAACTGGTACCAACTTTGTAAGGTTATTGTGAAGATTAAAGAGAGAGTGCTTGTGAATACTAGCATGTGCTCAATAAATGGTAGCCATAACTGTTACTGTTTTATTTTAACTTACATAAGCAACTGTGTGCTTTCTTTGTGGATTTGATGATCTTGAAAAGTTATACTATCAAGTGATACTTTCCTAGAGTCTGTCATAAAATGAGAATTCTTCTCCACTGAAAACTTTATTTTCACTGATGTTACTACATTTAAAAGCTTTAAAAAAAATACTGTAAAACTTGTTTCAAAATCATGAATGGAGAGAAACATTATCTGATTATGTTGGCAGCAAAACAGCACCAGAATGTTACCAGCGATTGGACCTGAGTTCAGCATCCTCAGTTCTTGAGTTCTGGCTAAGAAAGAATTCAGAGGACTGAAATAAAATAAAATAAAAGTTTATTTAGAAAGTCACAGAGATATACAAAATGAGCTCTGGAAAAAGTGAGCCAGCTGGGCTGTGTGGGCTCAGGAAGCAAGTTGTAGAGGCAAAAGAAGGTTCCTTGTAACTTAGGAGAAAGAAAACTAGGATGTAAGGGCCTTGGGGAAGAAGAAGGGGAAACGCTCAAGTGTGCTTCAGAGAGAGTGCACACTGGGGAAAAGAAGATGTGGGGAAAGGCACTGAGAGAGAGAGAGAGAGAGAGAGAGAGAGAGGGAGAAAGAGAGGAGGGGAGGAGAGGAGAGGTGAGGGAAAGGGAGGGTGTGCTGCACTGAGGCCTCAAGGACTTTAAGGGTAGGGATTTTAAGGGGGGTCCCAGGGGAGGATCTCAATAGAATATTCATCAGCTTTCCTGGGGTGTCCTTTCAGGGTCATGGTCTCTACTGATGGGTCAGTGCCAGGTCAGGGTGTCATTAGTCATTGCAGTTGGTCCTGATGTTAGCCCTGGCATCACCCCCACCTGGCCTAGCTGCTTTTCTGGGCCTGGAGCTGAAACACAACTGAGGCCTAGATGTTATCTCTAATTTGACAAAACTCCGTCTCTGGGGTCAAAAGACCGGAGGCTTTGTTCCTAACATTATCTGATGCAGATCAGAACTCATTGTTCTAGGGGCTTAATGCTTAAGCGAGTGGTTGTGCAAGAGCTTGTATGGGAATCTATGAGCTGTTCTCTGGAGCCCTTGTGGGGTCTACCCTACGACTAGTGATATGAAAGGTCAGGGAATCTAAACTGCATGACCAGCATTAGGATAGGGCAGGAAAGGTCACCCCGGGGGTGAGGTCCCACCCTAAAATTGTCTGTTGCTAGGCACTCAGGGCTTCTGCCTGGTGACCTTCTGTACCTGGCCTATGGGTCCTACTCTGCTCACGTCTATCTAACTGCCTACTACAACTATATACCAAGGCCAACCAAGAGTTTCCCCACGTTGCATGTACCTGGTTTTGCTCTGTCTTGGGTAAGTGGGAGG